TCTCTCTCTCTCTGGCTATTTCTCCGTCTCTCTCTGTCTGCTTCTGTGTTCTCCAGGTATTCCTCTCACTACGGATGTCTCTACTTCTCGGGTATTTCACAGAATCCCTACAGTGCGGAAAGAGACCACTCGGGCCATCGAGTCGATACCGACCCTGCGAAGAGCACTGCCTCCACATTCCCCCCCAACACCCTTTTCCCCCTAAAACTCACATTTACCGCGGCTCATGCAGCCAGCCCCTTTCTCCCTCACCGTCTATCTCCAGTTATTCATCTCTCTCGGGATTTCTCTGAATTTTTTTTTTCTCTCTCTCTGGCTATTTTTCCCTCAAAGGGTTTTTTTTTCATCTTTTTCTTACCCGCCGGTCGCCGCCGCCATTTTGCCGTTCGGTGGTTTCCAGAACAATCCGAGCGCCGCTTTGCGTCACTTCCTCCGCCGCCACGGCGCACCGACGCCACTTCCCCCCGCCAACAGACCGACCAATCCAATCCGCACCGAGCCAATTCTGCCAGGACCTGTGCTGACGTCACTTCCGTTGGGACGGCTTCATTCGTCACAGAGCCACTTCCGCCAGGACTTCGGGGCATGTCTCTCTCTATTTCTGATGAAGGGTCTAGGCCCGAAACGTCAGCTTTCCTGCTCCTCTGATTCTGCTTGGCCTGCTGTGTTCATCCAGCTCTACACCTTGTTATCTCAGATTCCCTCCCGGACGTCAGGAATGTCAGTGCAGTCTCATTCATAGAGAAACAGAACCTCCCATCCAGCTTGTCCATGGGCTGACCAGATATCCTAAATTAATCTACTCCTATTTGCTAGCATTCTGCCCCTATCCCTCTAAACCCTTCCTATTCATATACCCATCCAGATGCCTTTTTAAATGTAATTGTACCAGTCTCCACCACTTCCTCTGGCAGCTCATTCCTTACACACACCTCCCTCTGATTGGAAAAGTTACCCCTCAGGTCCCTTTTAAATCTTTCTCCTCCCACCTTAAACCTATGCTCCTCTAGTTTTGGACTCGCCCACTCTGGGGAAAAGACCTTGCCTCTTTACCCTATCCATATCCCTCATGATTTTATAAACCTCTATAAGGTCAGTCCTCAGCCTCCAACGCTCCAGGGAAAATAGCGCCAGCCTATTCAACCTCTCCCTATAGCTCAAACCCTCCAACCCCGGTAATATGCTTGTAAATCTTTTCTGAACCCTTTCAAGTTTCACAACATCCTTCCTATAGGATGGAGAAGAGATTGATTGATTTTATTGTCACATGTACCGAAATACAGCGAAAAGCTTTATTTACGAGCAGTCTAGGCAGATCACAGCAAGCAAAGGATACACAGATCAAAAAGACTTAGAGGCATACAGGTACATTGCAGGTTACATCATTTGAGGCTAGAGTCCATTTGACAGGCTGATATCGGCCAGAAAGAAGCTGTTCCTGAACTCGCTTGTGCGTGTGTTCAGGCTTCTGTATCTTCTGTCTGACGGAAGAGGTTGTTGGAGAACATTACCATGGTG